TGATGTATCATCCATGGCTGGATAAGGACTGGGTCCCAGGTCTGGTAGAGCTGTGTCATCATCATCAGTGGTGAACACCGAGGCAAACTGCCTGTTCAGGATACTGGCTTTCTGCTTCGGGTCACAGTGAAGTATGTTGCCTTCCTTCAATGGTGCTACTCCCATGTGATCACAGCGCATGGTTCTCACAAGGGCTCCAAGACGCTTGTTGCAGCCTGGATCATTGTCAATCAAGTCAGCAAGGTACTTGTTGTAGGCTTGTCTACACAACTTTTGTGTGGTCGTCTTTATAGCGTTGTAGCGATGCCAAGCTTTGGTTGTTGCTTTTGCATCACTACCACGCATGGATGAGATCCTCTTAGCCTTCCTATAGGCTCTGGCCTTCTTGCGACATATGCGTTTCGTGGCGGTGTTAAACCAACACTGGTTTGGCCGTGTCGAAGTCATCTTGGTTGGCACATGGTCCCTTAGAATTTTATCCAGGGCTTGTTGGATTTCAGCAAAGAGAGTTTCAACTGGAGATGTTGTGTCATGAGAAGCTACAAAGCAGTCTGCCCATGCTTTAGCATCTGTATGAATACCGTCAATGTCTACCTTCTTCCAGAGGAATATCTCCCTACGGATAGGTTTATTCCTATACGCTCTGACAGACAAATCCATGAATACCACATCGTGGTCACCGAGTCCCGGCATAGGCTCACACTGCCCAACCAACGTTGGGCGATTTGTGATGATGACATCGAGTGTGTTAGATCCTCTTGTTGGGAAGTTGACAATCTGACTAAGTCCTACATCTGCCAGAGTCTGCAGGTATGTCTCACTTAGGGATTTCCTGTATTGATGGGATCTTATCTCTTCTGTCTCCCAGTCTATATCGGGCAAGTTCATGTCTCCTCCGATGCACAACGCTGTGCCAGGATTAGACATGCACAGTTCTCGTATGAACTGGTTCATATTGTCCATATAAGGTTGGTTGGTGTTTGGAGGTCGGTAAACAGCTCCAAAAATAACACTGTTGTTGTTGTTTCTGTTCACGATCTTTGCAGCAACCACTTCAGCTTCACTAGTCACCTGCACCTGATAGCTATCAAGGCTTGAGGAGATGGCGAGCAAAACTCCACCATACCCGTTATTACGATCTTTCCTATACACATTGTAGCCAGGCGGGAAGATTTCTCCTTCACTTATGCTCGGTTTGAGCCATGTTTCACAGCCCATGATTACATCTGGCTTAACTGCATCCACAAGGCACCAAAATTCCTCCCTCTTTGAAACTATGCTCTGGAAGTTAATAGTCAGAGTTTTGAAGCGTAGTTTACCTTGGGGAGACAGGCTCTTCGAAGGAGAGGACGAAGTCTGTGGTGGTCCGGGAGAAGCAGAACTTGAAGTTGAGTAGCTGCTGTCATGTGTTAAGCTTGATGACTCGCTGCTTCTGTCAGTGTCCGATGATCCGGACATTAGTAAAGTGTCAAATAGGCTGGATGAGAACTTAGGCAATCCACAGTTACAGCATTCCCATGGTGTATCACATCTTCCGAGAACAGCCAAGAAACTATTGCCAATGTTTACACAATCAGCATGGAACCAGGTGTCGCATGATTCACACAGTATACTTGCTTTGGCTCCTTTATAAGACGTGCATGCCTTGTGGCATTCACCACATGGAAACTTGGGTTTCCTAGGTCCGGGATTTATTTCCACATCACCACTCAGTAGCAATACTGATATCAGTATGAACACGCACACAAACATGGCTGCAGGGGTTGAGTTACCAGCCAATGCCATGGTGAGACTTAATATTAGAATCTCTACCCTCAATGCAGCACAAAAATGGCAATGTTGTGATGCGCCCGAGATTCATACCTATGGTGCACTAATAGTATCACACACCGACACTAGATTGAGTTACCAGCCAGTGGCATGGTGAGACTAAGCATACAAGATAATGTATTATGATATAAATACATACATACATGTACATGCATGCAGATTCAATGGCAAGCCATGGTATGACTCCAGTACAGCATGAATAGTAACAACTAGTGAACCAGCTTGAATATATATAGGTGGGCACAGTATGTGAAGTCAGTCCAAAAAGCCAAATCAAGTACCACGAAGTAGCTCAAAAATACAGGACAAAACTACTCCATTCCATCCCAAGAGTATGCTCACAGATGAACTAGTCATGTATAGCATCAATATTCATGCAACAAATCCATTTATACCAGCAAAAAGATGTCAAACAAGATCAAATTTGACTGCACAAAAACAGGACCTGTGTACTGCTCCACACACACACACAAATACGATCATATTTCGAAATAAAACGTGAGTTAAAAAAGAAAATATAAAATCATTTTTTTATAATAACATATGTAAAGTGAGCCCTCACTTTTATCCTAAAAGTGTGCTTGTAAAGCAATCACTGTGAAAGGAGCTGCATATCAACCTGAACAAAAACTAAAACATGATACAATCAATGGAAAAGGTACAACAATTTCTAGGTGTATTTGCTTAGTCGATTTTACCCTATTTGAAAGTTGGTTCGTCTGATATTTTGAAGAAATCCAATTTTTATTTTCCGCCGCGAAAAAACCCAGTGAGTTTTTTAGTGAGCAAAAAGAATAAAAGATATGCAATGTTATTTCTTGTAATTATATCTTTTGGTAATAAACATTTGATCATGTTAGCCATCAATTAGCCATCTCTGATATTTGAAATGAAAATACCACTGTGACGTAAAATACTTCGTGGAATAAAGACCAACCAACTTCAATGAGGCTGCTCTTCCCTCCAGCAGAATGATGCAGCCCCCTGTTGGTTCACACATCATATAAGCTTACTAAATACTAGCTTGGTTTTTACTTGCACTGGACTTAGCATATTTTACTGTAAATTAACGAGTGTTTTGTCCACACACCATTCCTGCAATTCTTGACACTCCTTGTAGTTACTCGCCTCACCTACCATCCCAGTATAGCTTCCCGAGTGAGCTGCCAAAGGGATTACCCAACCAAGTACCAAGTATCACTCTCTGATTGCATGGTGGGAAATATGAATGATATTGATTCATTTTATATTCCTAGGAATATTAGATTTGTGTATTTCCCAGGTTTATAAAAACAATTATTACCCGTATCAGACATCTGAGCTGGTCATTTACAAAACCGTATTGCCCTAGTTTTCACTAGCAGTGGGAACGGAGGGGTATATTCTTTGTATTTTCCTTGGTCTCCCTGCGCGTATTGACTTTGCGTGTAGAGACGAGTGAAAATATACCTTGGTATTTTCCACGGTCTCGCATTTTCATTGCGCATCTATTAATATTATGCGTACGAGAACCTGCGCACTTTGCGCACACTCTATTGTGACGTAATAATCACACCAAATACACACTGTTTGTAGTGTATCGAAAATTTTGTCAAGCACTGGATGCACAGTGTTGGTTTGACAAAGTTTGTTCAGTTCTTGAGATTGTCATGGTGGATGTCTGTATTTGCTCTAGATGTCTGATTTGGATAACAATAAAAATATTGACTGGCTTTACTTTCGGGGGATATCAGAAATATTGACCGCGCTAAGACCATATTGCCCTCGTCTTTCGACTCGGGGCAATATGATCTGAGCTTGGTCAATATTTCTGATATACCCCTCAAGGCCAGTCAATATTATATAAATAACCTCATATGACTTGAGATGTGATACAAAATTGTAAGCTCTTGAGACATTACAAAGAAAACCTTTTTATAGTTGAGCAACACTTTGTACCCTGTGGAAGGATTAAAGAATAACATGATTTGGTTGAGAACATTTTATTATGTGAATTCAAGTGCTTTAAAGTGACTCGGTAACATTGCCTCAGATTCTGAAACAACATCCTGGAAATAGCTCATGCTGCAATCATAATTATAAACCTTTAGGTGAATCAGTAATCCAATGTCTTTTACAAGCCGATCGCCTGTCTGATTATCAAGATATGTATGATTGGAAATCGATATTTCATTTTTCGTTTTCCTAACGGTTTTCATAACACGTAGTCTACTTCGTTTGACGATAAACATACATTACAAAAAAGTGTCAGCAATACATTCTGGTAGCAGAAATAGAACATAAAACCACAAGGTGTTGCTACTGAAATGCCCGCCCGCCTCTCCCCGCCCACTCAGTGTTATTTAGGGTACGTGTATGCATGTTCCCTAATTTTGAAAGTACCCCCTTATCTCCCATGTGTATAATTCAATGAGAGTCGGCCTTTGTTGTGTGGAAAGCACCTCTTTACCGGAGATTTGGGGGACACGAATGCCGCCCCTCAGACCCAGGAGGGGAGGGGAAGGGGGGGGGGGGCTGATAGGATTCTCAGCCTTCGAAAATTCATGGAAATTACAGTTTCAGTATTATGACGGCGACTATCTTGGATTCTTTACTTAAGTATTTGATTTTCATGCATAGTCAGTCATGTGACGTAACATGCAGAACCTAATGGCCCGAATTCACAAAGGAGGTTTGTCGACAAACAGAGGTTTATCTACGTCATATGACGCGTTTTGACGCGTTTTTTTTTACAAACCTGGTTTGTAAAAACACGTCGAAACGCGTCATATGACGCACGAAAACCAAGGTTTGTCGACAAACCTCCTCTGTGAATTCGGGCTAGTGTGTTGGTAATGAAATCATACTGTGATAAATATAGCTCTCCTAAAGGTTTCAGGACACCTACCCCCTGGACATCCATCCCCTGGATAACCACACCAAGTCAACTACCCCCTAGGGCAACCACCCTCTAGGACAACAACCCCCGGATATCTACCCCGGACAACTACCCCCTCGGACAACTACCCCCGGACAACTACCCCCGGACAACTAACCCCAGACATCTACCCCCAACGACAACCATCCTCTAGGACAACTACCCCTCAGACAACTAATCCCTGATTTAACTCCCCATTCATTCTATGAGTTTCATTCCTCACACACTTTTAATCAACTTTCACATACAATAGCTTCGGGCATGGAGAACTACAAGGACCATGAATGCAAACGGATCTGCGAGTATCCGCCAAGCCCCAAGACCTGCAACTATAATTTCACTGTGGAGTGGTTCTACGCCATGTCTAAAGCCTGCTACGGATGTCCCTACAACCTGACTGACTGTGAAAGACCTCATTGCATCCCTCTGAACGGTGTGCCGCGGGCAGTCTCCGTCGTCAACCGCATGTTTCCGGGTCCAAGCGTTGAGGTACGTAGTCATCAATGTTACACAATGTATTCACCATCATCATGATCATACCTCATGCGGATGCCGTTAGACTACGTATTCAATTCCTCATTTTCCAGAAGCAGTAAAGCAACTTTGGCTAACCTCTCTTTAGCGCGACCTGAATATGAGACCCACTGGAGTCGAATTGAATTGGATTGAATTTCTTTATTGTCATGCACAAATAAAAGGAAGGCATCTTACGACTCGCATTTGTATAAAATATAACAATATATTAACATATCGTAAACAAATAACTACAAATAACTAACATAACATGACAATGTAATATAATGTAATCTCTCTGTTGAGAGCCAGAGGAAATATTTATATTATTTGTACTCCCCTGGCTCCCAACAGACAATATTAAAGAAATAACCAGTATTGGAAACGCTTCCCTCTCAAAAATGAAATGGAAGCTTTTATTAACAATCATGGGAAAGAATATGTTTTGACTAATACGTGATGATACAAATTTTGCCGGGTAACCGCCTACTAATTAATATATCTGGTAAATTATCATATCTATCCGGCCTGGATAGATATCCCGTATACATCTTTCTGTGTACAGTGCTTGTAACTTTACCAAGACTGGGCCAAATTTCTTATAATTTTGATGATTCCAGAACCATTGTTGATTCCAGTACACACCAATATTTGCTAGATTATCAACCTTTTCTGATCGATTCCACAACGTTTCTTTTACAATGCAATCCATGACCAGAACTATTCTTTACTGATATCTGACAAATAACTTAAAATTATACATTCTAGACAATGTTCAGTAAGCCCTGGAAGGCGAGGAGCAAACTCGCACGCGGTCACATCACTCATCGCGTGTGAGATTGCAGCGACACTGACTTTCTACGCACAGAATCATAATTATAGTCAGACAGTCACACTGAACAGTATTCATTCCAAGCTGATCACAGCGGAGGAGATTCAAGGGTCTGTGGGTTAAATGTCATTTTTATGTCACTGCTTTGTAACACTTCAGGACTTTGAGTGAAGAATTGTCCGAGGTTGATCCAGGTTCTTGCCGCGACATAAGCCCCCGTACATGTATGTCCTGCATTTCGCAAGGACGTGCTTGGACTTAACTCTGCTCATCCAGATTAGGATTCAGTCACGAATATTTCCATCAGAAAAGGCGATATAACTAACTAGAACAATTAACTTCACAATAATAATAATAATAATAATACATATGATTTATAAGGCGCCAAATCCACTTGATAGTCAAATGCTCAAGGCGCAGCTTGTGCAAAAGATGAAATACATACATGATACATTTATACAAAGTGCAATAGGAAAGGTACAGACATGAGAAGGTTATGGTAATCAATTATAAGCTAAATTAAAAGATATTTCTTAAGATTGCTTTTTAACACTTCAGCAGAACTGCTATTCTTAATCCATTGAGGGAGAGTATTCCATAATGAAGGTCCAGCATGTGCGAAGGTTCGCTCCCCCACTTTGATTTAACCCTAGGAGTAACAAATAAGCCAGAGTTTTGAGAACGTAACTGTCTAGAAGAAAAGTAATGCTTAATCAAGCCGAAGTTATACTGCGGAGCAGAGCCATGCATACAGTGAAATAATAGCAAAATAATCTTGAAAACAACACGTTTTTCTACGGGCAACCAATGGAGTGATTTGAGGACTGGTGTGATGTGACTGTACTTGTTGGACAGGGTCACGACACGAGCAGCAGCATTCTGTAATCTTTGTAATTTTGCGAGTAGGTTGTGAGGCGAACTAAACAATACTTATGGATGTCGATTTTCATGGGCTAACTGATAGATAATTTACCTCTTAAGATAATGGTTTTGTTGGTTACAGGTTTGCAAAGGAGACACAATTTCTGTGTGGGTTTCAAACCACATGCTAAACGGCGAAGGGACATCCATCCACTGGCATGGTTTTCCCCAGAAAAATTCGCCCTACATGGACGGCGTCTCAATGGTGACGCAGTGCCCTATCACCGAATTCACGAGCTTTAAATACGAATTTGTCGCAGATCATTCTGGGACGCACTGGTGGCACGCGCATGCTGGCATGCATCGCGCGGATGGTTTGTTTGGCGCCCTCATCGTTCGAGAACCTCGAGAGGTTAGTTCGTCCATTTTCTGCGCTTATAATCAGTCAAGCCATCGGGACCTGATAGAGGCCGATACAAAGGATCGGCGGGTTTGGAATCGGTTTGATATAGGTATGAAGGCTAGCATCATTGCCACGCCGGTTGTAGATTTAACAGACACTTTTAGCCTGTGCTTAAAATGCTTTATAATGTGACCGTTACAAAAGATCCTTTCCCATTAATTGCTCTTTTAAAATCTAGATAAATAAATTTTAATGACTTAAATGAAATTACTGTTGGTCTCTTAATGAGCATTTTTCTTTGAATCATGTTGTCATATATGTTATATTTGTAATTATATTGCTCTTATTATTATAATTATAATTATTATTATAATTGTAATTATAATTATTAGTATAATTATAATTATCAGTATAACTATAATTATTAGAATAATTATAATTATTAGTATAACTATAATTATTAGTATAACTATAATTATTAGTATAACAATAATTATTAGTATAATTATAATTATTAGTATAATTATAATTATAATTATAATTATTAGTATAATTATAATTATTATTATAATCATCATTAAATTGTAGGTTGACCAACAGAGCGCCCTCTTCGACTATGACCTGTCAGAGCACGTGATTATCACGCATGATTGGCTCGATCAAGTGACGCTGGACAAGTTTGCTGCGCATCATTTCGATGACGGATCCAACAGACCCGAGTCTGTGCTCATCAATGGAAAAGGAAAGCGAGCGCCGTTTTATGATGAAACGTCTAATGAGACAGTGTATACTGCAAGGGAAATCTTTCACGTCAAACAGGTGAGGAGCAGCTGGAATTTGTACGTTTGATGAAAACACAACTTTCAAGTAAAATGTTTTACCTTTCAATACGAAATACACATAGTCAATAATTTCCACTTCAAAAACTCAATCTATAAACTATGCCTAATATTTAAAAAGTTCTTACTTCATAGTGAATTCATCAAAGCTAGTATGTATCCTTTTAGGTTCGAAAGATATCCACGTATAAGTTTTTTCGTCTTAAGGGGGGGGGGGGGGGGGGAGGGAGGGGGCGAATGATTTGTCCTGGTTTATGTTACCTGAACACTCGACAAACAATCGTAAGAATAATTACACAATACAATTTACAAATTTCACAAATTCCACAACAAAAACACAAATAACGTCAAAGTAAACAAGGGTAACAATATCCTGTTGTTAACAGCTGGTTGCAGTTTGAGTGATATAATCTAACTTAATTTGGTTCCATTATGGTCAAATTAAGATTGAATTTCAGGCCTTATAGGTTTCTAAGGATCAGTGGTTTTCCAGCAGTCAGTCATAGCACATTCATTTAATCATCCTCATTCAAGAATAGACTAACTATAATCTGAACTTCGTTTAGTGTGTCATACTAGGCTCATACACATTTTTAACAGTTTGTAGCAATTACAGTGAAGATAATCATATGATAGTACAGTGGTGGAGTAGCAAATATTCACAAGAGTGAGTATGTATTTTAAAATGGTTTACTATGGTGGTTGGAAAATCTGATCCTCTGCGATATATTTGTTTTTATTTGATTTGATAATTATGTAATTTGACGAAGAAACCAATGCTTGAAATTTCTATTTATATTTTATATCCAAGGGTTTTAGATACCGCTTTCGGATCGCCAGTAATGCGATCACCAATGCCCCGTTGAAAGTCAGCGTAGATGGTCACAATTTAACTATCATTTCAAGCGAAGGAGGCGACATCGAACCCGTTGATGTCGACGCCTTTGTCATCTATGCAGGTGAACGGTAAGATATGACCGAAAATAAACGCAACACAATCACGAAATTTAATTCAAAGATGTTAACTGAAAGGTTATTCAATGCCCTGTGGTATTGCCTATAGAAATATTTTGTTGGAATATGTAACACGTCATTTCGATATGTGATGAGTTAAGTAAATGGAGGTTGCTTCAGGTTTATTTCTCTACGGTTTTTTTCTCACATGTTCTGGAAACCTTAAATTGGAACCCGAGAACATCATTTTATTAGGATACCCAGAGGTCTCAATTAAATTGGAAACATATTCACTGCCAAATTGTCTTTATCAAAATACTTGTTTTTTGTCCAGCGAAAGATCCTGCAAATTATTATTTTATTTATACAATATATCATTGTTAAATTACAATAGGATAGAAAACAAGTTTGATCACATTTGTTGTTATTGTCAACAGGATTTGGAGCTTATATAAATGTATATGCATAACCCTAAAGTCAGCCTATGTTTAACCAAATGAATCGCTTCGGTTTATAGGTTCGACTTTGTTGTCAATGCTAACCAAACCACTGGTAACTACTGGTTACGAGTGAAGGGCCTTGCAGATGCCATTGCGGTTCAAGAATTAGCCATTTTAAGGTACGAAGGAGCCCTCAGCGCTGATCCAATGGAGAGTGAATTGTTCGACAGAGATGGAAACATTCTGCAAGACCTCAACGTGGCATCCTCAGACACAGTCTATACTTATGATCAGATGATATCGAAAGGTAAGTGCTCTTTAGGTTGAGATGTGATTTGTTCTAGCAGTACGTCCACTCGGTCAGCTCCCTGACCTACCCCACAGACCGACTCTGAACTGAGTCACATTTCGGTGACGTAGAGGCATGTTCCCCGTATTCCAGAGGGCGTTCAAAATACGTACGCGCTCGCGGACGGTGCTATAGCTGCCTACAGGCGCGCCGGAAGCAGTTTGGGATTGGGGGGGGCAAACATTCCAGGGGGCTCACCTTCCGAGGGCAGTGACGTAATGAGAAAAAACGTTCGGAAGGGGGGGGGGGGCAGACGAAAAATCTGCATCACCACCAGTCTTACACGTTACATGCAGGTCCCGCGGAACGTTTTTCAAAGTGAAGTATTAACGATCAGGTAGAGCGTAAATTGGCGTGGGGTCCAGCCTCGGCAGGGTGTCAAGGGGCTGAGCCCCCGGAAGCTCAGGGATTTTAGGTATTTAATTACGGTTAGATGAGCATCCAGGGGCCTCTTTAAGGCCATTGACGTGTTCCAGAGGGGGGGGGGGGGAGCCCCCAGAAGCTCAGAGGTTTTAATATTTAACTACGGTCAGATGAGCAACCAGGGGCCGCCCTAGGGCACTTGGTGGGGTCCAGGGGGCAGGGCCCCCGGAAGCTCAGGGGTTTTAGGTATTGAATAATGGTCAGATGAGCATCCAGGGGCCCGCCTTATAGGGCCCTTGGTGGGGTCCAGGGGGCAGAGCCCCCGGAAGCTCAGGGGTTTTAGGTATTTAATAATGGTCAGATGAGCATCCAGGGGCCCGCCTTATAGGGCCCTTGGTGGGGTCCAGGGGGCAGAGCCCCCGGAAGCTCAGGGGTTTTAGGTATTTAACTACGGTCAGATGAGCAACCAGGGGCCGCCCTAGGGCACTTGGTGGGGTCCAGGGGGCAGGGCCCCCGGAAGCTCAGGGGTTTTAGGTATTTAATAATGGTCAGATGAGCATCCAGGGGCCCGCCTTATAGGGCCCTTGGTGGGGTCCAGGGGGCAGAGCCCCCGGAAGCTCAGGGGTTTTAGGTATTTAATTACGGTCAGATGAGCATCCAGGGGCCCGCCTTAGAGCCCTTGGTGGGGTCCAGGGGGCAGAGCCCCCGGAAGCTCAGGGGTTTTAGGTATTTAATTACGGTCAGATGAGCATCCAGGGGCCCGCCTTAGGGCCCTTGGTGGGGTCCGGGGGCGGAGCACCCGTAAGCTCTGGGGTTTTAGGCATTTAATTACGGTCAGATGAGCATTTTTTATGCCTTATTTGTGACATTGGCAGGTCACTTATTTTTTCTCTCCGTCTTTCTTTCTTTTTCTCTTTAACATACTTTTTCAAAAAGTGAGGGGGGAGGGGCTCGAGCCCAGCCACTTTGCAGACCATGTCATAAAGGCTTCTAAATAAGCGTATTTTTCGCCCGACTGTAATTTGGGAATTTCTTATTTTCCAACAAACGCATAAAAAGGTATGACTTTAAAAAAAATGGAGAAAAAATACCGGAAAATCATGTCATAACAGCAACATGTGTAAATCACTGGTATCGTATAGATATACCCCCCCCCCCCATCAGTACGCCAGCGTTCAGGGGCTCATGTCTTCTCACCCCTATAACAAAACCAAAAAAACAGACACGTTTTCCCATTCTCGCACAATATGTCCACGATATGCGCGTATCGCTATTATAAACCGTATAGGTAGCATGCGCAATGTTTATAAAAATTTAATTCCTGTGAACTTTCCTTTTCTTTGAATGGAATGGTATATGTGCTTTAATTCAGGTTTTTATTATTGTTATGTTCTTTTGGGATAAAAATACAAACCATGTTTATTCCTTTACTGCTTTTTTTTTTTTTTTGGAGGGGGGGGGGGCGTTTTGGGGGGGCAAAAATGCGTTTTGCCCCCCCACTTTTTTGACTGGGGGGGCAACTGCCCCCCCTGCCCCCCCACTTCCGGCGCCTATGGCTGCCTATTGACACCAACAGAATTCGGCTCTTACGCAGATGGCATGTTCCGATAACTACACTGGCGGGAACGTGCCCCTTTAAGATCGGTCCCAGACGTAATTGATTATATCTTATTGATACATTTAACACGGACACGTGCATCTATTCAGAAAGGATTGATTCATATCGAACCCGTCGGCCATTTGACTGTATTGAATTGTTTTGACATCAGAAGGTTTTCATGGTAACAAATTCGGCAGAATATTGAAGCAAGTACTAGATTTATTCATGCAAAGAGGTATTTGATTGATTATGCATTGCTATTTGGAGTAAAAAAACACTCGGAAATTCATATAAAAGATACAGACTTGTTACGTATTATGCAACAGGATCCAGGCATAAAATGCCAATCCATTATTTAACAATTTAGACACTGATTTTAGTGCCATTAAAGACTGTCTTCTCTCCAAACTGTCTTCTCTCCTCTCTCCTTCTTTCTACTTATCTTTTACAGAGCTTTCTCACGTTCTCTATCAATATTTTCTTTCATTGAATATATTGACTATTTCTGCTTGATTTTGTAAATTAAGTCTTCCCATATTTCTTTCTCAACAGATGCTTCGGATATACCTCAAGAAAATAAGAAAACTTTCTACCTGGCTTTTGACTTTTACAAGGTAAGCACGTATTAGCACATTTCTATACTTCCCTAGACTCGACATTTTCAGACTCGACATAACCATACCTAAGTATTCTATTTTACATACTTGCCCCCTTTTTATAAACATTTGCAATAGATCCTTCAATCAATCGCAAACTTTAAAAGTTATATCTCTTTAGGATACAGTTGCGATTGAGGTGACTGAATTTAAGGGAGAGAAAAAATCGCACCTGTCTATATAAGACGGACCCAGACATGATCGATATATGTCATTGTATTCGTTATGATACTTTTTTTACTCTTTATATTCACAAATGATTATCATCATGAAATATTATCTTCATTTTCTAGCTCTCTCTCTTCTTCTTTTTCTGTTTTCTTCTTCCCTCTTTTAGGTCAATAATTACGCCTTCCATGACCCCGAGTATTACCCTATCGAGGAGATCGCTCGATCGCACCATCTCTACTCGCCTCAAATGAATCACGTGTCATTCAATTTTTTTTCGGCCCCGCCTCTTAGCCAGGAGGTAGATCCTAGTGAGCTTTGTGACGCCAATGACGTATTAAATATGACGCACTGTGCCACAGAGTACTGCGCGTGCACACAGGTTTTAACTGTAGAACTCGGTGAGGTAAGTTTACCTCTTTGCTTGTTCGTTCGTTTCTTGTTTTCTTTTCTTCTGTTTAGTGTTGCTTTCTGGTCACTAGCGTGCCTTACAACTGTTCTTTTAGCGTTGTTGTGAATTCAGTTGGGGGAAAAATTTATTCCCTCGGAAACGACGCTAAATCACCCACTTGTGTCCTTTATAGGCATAACTATGAAACCTCTCTGTAAGAGAATACGTTGTAAACGCGGTGTCTTAATTGCTGCCCGAAATCCAAGCAGCATAATGAATCTCCGAGGTTAAAGAAGGCACTTAGAACCTAAGCGACAATATAAGAACGCACATTTCCAACGAATATGATATTTTGTGTGCTTTTGCTTCATTAGCTAAACAAAAGCTACATCCCTCCCTCAATTTTTTGGCGCAGGTATAGTTAAACAGTACTTTATGTTAAAAATATATCGCTAAAAGAGAGGAATAGTAATTTAACTAGTCCAGCCTCTGTACCGTTTTCGTGTAGCGCTATAGCGCACCCAATCAGCTGATAAAATAACACACCCTCAACGTTAAAAGTAGACCTAGCCATTCCTCTCAATCTGAACCTCGAATTCGTGTGGACGAAAATTTGGAGATTGCGCGATCAGTGGAGAGACCGCGCTGTGTGTGCGAACAATGCATGTGATAGAAGAGTAAAAACAAAGAACGAACTGAATCTGGACTATAATTTAACCAGGGCCCCGTCTTACAAAGAGTTGTGATTGATCCAAATCAATCGCAAGTCCTCCAATCGATCGCAAGTTTGCAGTCTCCTATCTCTTATGTACATAGTTGTGATTGATATCAATCGCAAATAATTTGCGATCAATATTAACTCTTTGTAAGACAGGGCCCAGTTCTTCTATTCTTTTTATTTTATTTTATTTTATTTTCTATTTTTTTTTTTTTTTGGGGGGGGGGTCAAAATATGTTCGAGATATGTATATTTTTAAAATCATTCATTATTAAATAACTTGATTTCATTCAGTACTGGAAATCTTCTTCTTTTCTAATACTTCTTCACCAGACGGTAGAAATTGTTTTGATCGACGAGGGCTTGACATTCGATGCGAGTCATCCATTTCATCTTCATGGTTATTCCTTCTATGTGGTAGGGCAAGAGAAGCTGAACAGTTCTACAAGCCTCCAAGAAGTCATGGAACTTGATAAACTGGGTAAATATAATACGTCTCCAACTCCAGTATGTTACTTTAATACCTCACTCTCACTCTCACGTATTCACTATGCCACTCCCTCTCCCTCTCTCTCTCCTGCCTTTTTACACATTCACACACATACGTACAAAAAACCCAGACACAATTTATGTTAACCTTTTTTACTCCCTATTTTTCACTCCCTTTCTGTGTATCTCTTTCTCCAATTCTCTCTATGACTGTCCATCTGTCATACACACAGTATGCACTATCAATCCAATGAAATCGCTTTGCTACCTTTCCATCAGAGTAGCAATGTGAGATGAAAAGGATAGCTCTATAAAGTAATGTCATTATATATCTCAATATCACTACAAACAGAACAAAGGTAGTTCTGTATCATTACTATTAATAATCCTTTTGCATCACCCGGGACTAGAAGTTCAAACGCTATAATCATATGACATTCAGGTCTTTCCTCCCATATACTTATATCTATATGTGTAGTTTTTTCTATGTGCGATTTTTTCAGGAGGATTCGGTTAATTTCTTATTCTAAAAACTTAAAATCGAAAACAGTATTATAATGTAGTGCCCAATCGACTTTTTTTTAAGAAAGTGGATAGACATGGTCATTACCCAAAATATAAGTGGTGGTGGGGGTTATTTTACCTGACTGCTAAGAAAGCATAAATGTTTGTAAGTCAGCAAAAAGAGGACCGACGGCTTTAGGTCCTCTCCGAAAGACCTGGTAATGAGGATTAAAGCCCTTCCAAAAACTGGGCACAGCGCATCGCCTTGGTTTCGAACCCGGGTCACCGTACTACGAGACCACTGCTCTACCAACTGAGCTATCGCGCCTTGTGTTACTTTTATATATTTGTAACTTTTGTATATTTCGATTGTTCTGCCAGGAGAAGGGCTTCCACGGAACCTGGACCATCCTCCCCTCAAGGATACGGTGATCGTGCCTGATGGAGGGTATACCATCATCCAGTTTGTCGCTGATAACCCAGGCTGGTGGTTCCTGCATTGTCATCTCGAGTTTCACGTTGCTGTAAGTATCGATGGACTTTCTTATGGGGCTTTCACATATACACTCTGGGCCCCGTACGGCGAGTAAAAACAGACATTTTGGGAATTTTCGGCCGGTGTCCGGCCGGCTGCCGTAAAGTTCCTACGGGCGCCGGGACAGTTTTTAAAGCCGTACGGGCGCCGTGGTGCTGAGTTGGCTGCTCCCAATTCTCCCGGCGTTTTTATCTGACCGTTAGGCCGTAGAACGCCCGTAAAGGGCTCGTAGGGCACCTTACGGGTCCCGTGCGGGCTCCGGACAGTGCCCGGACGGCCCCTAACGATTTTTGTTGGTCAATTCCAATGACAAATCTTTACGGGCGCCTTGCGGTGCTCAAGGGGTCCGTACGTGTACCCTATGGCTCCCTCACGGGCCCCTCAAGAGCCACGGGTGATATGCACAACAACAGGCGTCTGCCGTCCGGGGGCCATTTGAAACGAATATTGCCCGTGCGAGTCCCTCACGGCGGCATCTCAAAAGGTACAACGCGGCATTAAATACAGGAGGTGCGGATGCCAGAGGACACATAGTTCAGTGCACCGCACAGGATCCGGCCGTGCGCCTTGAGGACCCCGCTCGGGCCCCTGCAGGGCACCTTTCGGGAGCCATGGGTGCACCTGCTAATCGGACGGAGCCCATAAGTTTACCGGCCGGCACTCGGCCGGCACCATGCCGGCACCCTTACGGGCGCCTTGCATTTCACTAAACCAATTTTCACCTGGCACCTCCCGGGCGCCGCAGAATATGTGACCACACATGCCCTAGAAATGAAAATCGGAAGGTTCCCGTACGGTCTCTCAATCCACGGCAAGCCACCGGGTCGGAAAAATCGTACGGGGCCCGGTTTTTATGTGACCTAGGCATTATCAAAGCATAAACATGGAGGGACTTATGCTGCTATATACATTCTCGGGGTATATCTTATGTTGAGGGTCGGACCCATTTTAACGCTAACGTAACGATTACTATCCATAACTATACATTATAACACGCTCGCAGAGACTTTCCAATATCACCCAAAGGTGAAATTAATTGCCTTGTCCATCAGCCTTTGAAATGTGTGAACTTAACAACGACATTACTACGGGTCATGTACATTATCCCAAGAGCTTTCCTGAAAGGAATACACAAGAGTATTGAAATTGTACTCTAAAATCTAAAGTGTTGTTTTTATCACTCGGAAGGCTATACACCTATCAGGTGCTCATATAGCGACTGTACTCGCAACGTTGCTTTAGCACCACTCCAAGTGTCAAGTGGTTTAGCACCAAGGCTATTTATTTTACACTAAGGGTGGTGATGAACAAACATACGGGCTATTAACAGCACTTAGAGTATGCATTACATGATATTTATGCACAGAAAAAGAAACTATTTTCATTGATTTGTAATTGATCCTCTCGATATCAAAGAGATCGTCATCACTGGAATGAAATCAAGCTTGTAGATCATTTAGTTGTTTATCAAGTAGCTAGTAGTGAACCTACTCTCTCTCTAAAAAAAGAGTGAATTTTCACTCTATTTTCACTTTCTTGGGAGTGACTTCAGTGATCACTTGTTTAGGAGTGAATATCGATTGATTTTAGAGTGCTCTCTAAGAAGAAAAAAGTAAATGTTCACTCTATTTTCACTCTCCAGAGGAGTTGCGTCAGTGATCACTCGATTTTGTTTAGAGAGTAGTAGTCCATCCAAACATGCGATAGTGTAGGTGAAAAGAAACCACTTTGATCAATAGTTTATCATTGTTTTTATATCAAATAGATCGGCATGGGTATGCTGATCCACGTTGGTACCGATGAAGACCTACCACCCGTTCCCGAGAATTTCCCACGCTGTGGCAACTGGCCATCATCCTTTAATCAGCCAATACAACCCACTGATGATACAGAGCAACCAATGCCGTGCACTGGGAGGGGTAACACCTTACACCCTAACAACTTCATCACAATCTTCAGTCTCTCACTGGCTATTCTTTTTGTTCTGCTTCATCCATTCAATATCGGGAGCGGCAGGTCTGAGTGAAAAGCTTGAATAATGATGATGCTGCGGCTGATTATGATAATTTTACTAATATAAATGAAAATGATGATAATAATTATGATAATGATAATAATAATAATAATTATAATTATAATAATAATCGTAATAATAATAATAATAATGATAATAATAATAATAATGATATTAATAATGACAATAATGATAATATTAATAAGAAGAATAATAAGAATAAGAATAATAACAATGATAACAATCAGAGCAAAAATAACGATATTATACTACTACCACTATTTATGTAAATAATGGTAATATAAAAAGGCTCGATTTGTTTCTATTTCTTTTACCAAGAATGGATAAACTTCTTTTCCTGAAACCATAGCAGGTCAAGACATTGTAAGATTAATTCCTATAGGAGATAATTATGATAAAACAACCAATGAACAAGGAATTTAATGTATGAATTATATATCAACGGAAAGCTTATAAGCCATAGTTTACAATAATATCAATTATATGCCATTTTAGTGTCTGGCAGAGGAGTATCAGGTCTCTGAAAATCCAAAATCTAAAGCTTTGAAAATCGGAAGTTGTCGACCTGAAAAAATTGCTATCGACTTGATGACATCATCTAGAGTACGCATATTCACAATGACTTTGCATCAATTAGGTACGGCACATCGCCTGAACTTTATTGATGAACCGGTCGGGTTCACATGATATGTCGTCACTGTAACTTAGGCAAAGGCTGACCCCTGTTGACCCGTTAATTGGAGGTGTGTGAAAAATGAGGGATTAACTTGCGAAAGGGTAAATACTTTTAATTCCTTTAATTTTGTATTCTACATTCATTCAGTTTTCCATTTATATCATGTAGTATTTTCATCGAATAGGGTCTTTAAGTCCGATTCATTGCTTTTTGACAGTTGCTGGTTATTCAACAACTTGATGGCATAAACAGGCTTAAACGATTTCACGACTGAAAACACACTTTAAGAGCAAGAGGAAAATTGGGGGCGAAGAGAAATATCATGGGTGTTTAGGTGTCGAATATGGGAGCACCTTATTGCTTGGCAGTCATAAGATAACAAATCTGTAATAAGTCTTGCTTTGTTGTTTGTTCTTTCTTCAATATTCATAATTATATATATATATATATATATACATATGTATTCCTCCCCTTTTTCTCTTTAATTCAAAACACATAACCTTCTAAATAGCTAGACTTCTGTTAATCAATATGATTTGTATTGTCCTACGCTATGATAATTCTGGATATTTGTGTGTAATATGTGTATTCTTTTTATCAGGAAGTGTACGTATTCTTGTATAGAATTAACTTAGGAATGAGAATGATTTACAGCTTATTTCAGATACAGTGAAAGATAAGTGCTGCGTGTCTCAGCATGATACTTCATTGCTTTATTGGCATAATACAATATGATTGATTGCAATAATCTTTTACCTCGAAAGCGTTAGCAGATCAAGAAAAGTCACCTTAGGCAGATATGGAAAAATGTTAATCTTAGTATTTAAACTACAATTCTCATTCAATTTACATGTACTATGACATGAATTACGGATATTTTTTGTACTACTTGTTTTAGTCTTATGTCATGATCATATATGCAGACAGTATTCAAGCATATTGGGAGTTTGCATTTTCATAAATTTACCACTAACATGAATTACACAGAGATTGAGGCGGTGATGAATGAATTAAAGTAAAGTGTGATTATTGCTATATAATATAACTCTCTGCTTCAGACGGATATAGACGTGTACATATATGGGCGTAGATGTAAGATACAACGATGGTGCATATTTTATGAGTGTCGTTACTTAAGCATTGAGCATTTGACTGTCAAGTGGATTTGGCGCCTTACATATGGCTCCGTTTAGTCTCATTTCACAACGCCCCCTATCGTCAGAGTCAGCAGCCATACATGTTAGCCTATGGAATTGTACACAAAAAATCGTTAAAAATTTATTTTTGTTTAAACGAAAAGCACATCCAACCCGACTTACATTATCACTAGCTCTTTCATTGGAACCCTCATGTCCCAATGACTTTTGAAAGTTCACCCACCGTAATTTGATCAAAATAGGTTGCAAGCTCGTCATTGCCTTTAATACACATGTGAAACAAGTCGAACTTTGGACTCAGTTTGCCAAGCGATTTTAAGATTATAGGTCAAGCACACGAAGATCAAGAAGCATGAATTATCATAGATCACTTATGCTTGGTTCATTATGTCCATTTCATCCAACCCCCCACCGCCATTTTTCCATTTAGTAAAAGAAAACATTTTGCCGAGGTAAGCAAAAATATGAATATTCATGAACGGTCAGACAATACAACCTTTTAGTACGTAACGTATATTGAATGGGAATGGGCGATGATCCGTCCAGGAGGTAGAGGTCAGTGGTTTTTGCTGGCAATGTTCCAGCGAGCGAAAATGAGAAAATCGGAGCAATATGTAAATTTTATGTATTATTATTATTATTAACCAGTGTGATGATTTAAACTTAAGTAAGGGGATACATTGTGTTTGTTTAGGGTAGTTGTAAGATTGAAAGTTCGGCAAAGAGATTTGTTAAAGTTTTGGTAACTTAAGTAAGTTAAGTTGTAGTATGTATATTACATTTATTATATTGATATGCATGGTGTATATTTGTTGGTTTTAGAGGCTGCTTTTGAAAAAGCAGAGGAGCCCATGAACGTAAAACTTTGCTTTATTTGAACTTGAAAATTGTAAGATTTAAAGTTCGGCAAAAAGATTGAAAGTTCGGCAAAGAGATTTGTTAAAGTTTTGGAAACTTAAGTAAGTTACGTTGTAGTATGTATATTAAATTTATTTTATTGATATGCATGGTGTATATTTGTTGGTTTTAGAGGCTGCTTTTGAAAAAGCAGGGGAGCCCATGAACGTAAAACTTTGTTTCATTTTGGGTCAGCAATTATTCGCAGTAGTTGTGTGCGTATGTTGTATAATGGATATTGAATTGTTTTTTACTGAGGTTTCTGGTATGTTACTAGGATTTGGCTGGAATTACTGTTGGACTTAGCCGGGATGAAGTATTTAATATTTATTCCGAAAACCTCAACATGAGACTGGAATTGCATGGAAGAAATACTGGGGCGACTATTAGGAACAGTAGGATTGATCTATTTATCTTTCTTTTGCTGTCAACCTCACGGAGAGGCCGGAAAGGACACATTGGAAGCCAGCCAAAATGTTAGATTCTGCTTGTTAAGATGTTATAAGATTTCTTTGTATATTGCAATGGCGACTTTTTGTATCTTAGGTGGTTGTTGAGATGTGAAAGGAATATCTGTAGGGCAAGGTCGTTGCGAAATATAGTTGACATTTTTACTGCTGTATTTGCTAGCGTGTGTAAAGGTACTATAGGAACGAGTATTGTTTTTGTGAGGTTAGAATGACACTGACTAGATTAATCGGGTATATGCCGAGCAAATCATCTGGCTTGTTAGAGATGCCTGTAATAAGAAGATTAGTGTCACAAGAGATTCTGGAACTGTTAGGATCAGTTGGGTAGCACTTAGATAATGTGAATAAAGGTATTTTTCAGATTCACTCCTGCACTGCACCCCTATTCATGGGGCAGGCAGAGAGGTCGTCTCTTCAAGCTTTAGGGGTTTATATTAGGTGTTAACCCATTGTCCACCGGACCCGGGTTGTCCCTGTGTTAAGCCTATGTGAATGAGAGAATAATGCAGTAGTCCAAGGGTTGACAAACAACATGTAAGAAGGAGGGTGCCATCAGAGGAAACGGTCCTCTAGGCCAGATTTCTAGGGATTATTACTTTGTAACTTGCACCTTAAATAAAACGAACCACAACCAAATGAAGTGTGTGATATGTCATCTGTACCAATTTCCGCGTGTTACAAGTGAAAATATATTAGTTTCTCTATACAGGAACTCAATGGGCTATTCCAAGCTAACATTATGTGGTACAAACAACATCTAACATTTGTGCACATCTCTTCATTCTATAGCTCATAACCATACGAGAGGTTAGATCCAAATGGGAAAGTGAAATAACAGAATTGACGACAATAGGCCATTTTCGTAATGTAACCAAATTTAATACAAGTCACTGTGAAGTGCCTCAATACAAATTATTTCATTTACCTGACAAAAATAATAGTATTTCAATGGTCAGAGTGTAAACTTGCATATATTGAGTGTTGCTAGGTAGGTCAAGCCATAATGTTTGTACTACCTGGCAACAACTATTGTATGCAGTTCGGATTCTGTGTATTGCATTACTGGTATTCTTATCACGTGAATGGAATAATTTGTATTTAGGCACTTCACAAAGATATATTTCTCAAGTGCATCAGAGTTCCTTCGTTCCCGCAACCTACGACGTTTTCGACAAACGGTTCGTCATCTGTATGGCTATGCACGAGAATGTTTGCAGACTGTGATTTTTCGGTCCTAGCAAACTGGTATTGGCTCAGGGTGGACCAGGGGCGGTATTCTGAACCCTGTGTTATCTCTAATATTGTTGTATCTTTGAAGATAAGATAAAGTTGGTATTCTGAACATTGTTGTAACTTTTGTGTTATCTTTTGTTGTATCTTTTCTCTCATCTTATTGGCCGCGCCTGCGCTCATACTTTGGTGCGCTTGTAATTGTGCGTATTATTAATAAAGTGGCATTTAATTCTCATTTGCATATGCGCACGGGATATAATATGTCGAGATAATTGGTATTCTGAAAGTTGTTGTATCTTTTATCTTATCTTATCTTGCATGGTATTTACAACAATATTTACAACAGGTAGGGGGTTGTTGTATCTTTCGTGGTGATATAATGGCGGCAATATTTTTTGCCCAGAACCAACTTCGTGCCAATAGACGAGTTAGAAGAAGATTGTGTGTTGACCGGAAACATCACAGATGAGAACTTTCTAAGATATTACATGCTAGGATAGGACTATTTTAATGCTCTCATCTTAACCAATATAGTGAAAGCGTGATTTGTCTTCATGATCCACATTCAACAGCGCATAATGATGACGCGCGTAATAAGTGCTCAAATAACTAATTACGCCCAAGATTAGTATGCGCTA